TCTTCCCTGGAGTCAAGGATTCTGAAGCTTCATCTGACATACTTTGGGCATGTTGCAAGGAGGGGCTGGTCCTTGGAGAGGGACATCATTTTTGGGAGAGTAGAGGGACGGCGCAGGAGAGGAAGACCCTCGATGAGATGGATCGATTGTGTCAGTGGAGTGGTGGGAATGAATGCGTTTGAGACGGCGAGGTTGTCACAGGATAGAATGGTGTTTAGGGCTCTTGTATATAGGGTCGCTATGAGTCACAAACGACTCAATGGCACATAACAACAACAACAACAACGACCTTCAATGCAGGCATTTAGACTTGTTTCTTTATCTCCTTTGGCTCTTAATAATATACCACTTCCTGAAATATTTTTAAGTCATCTAGTTCTTTTTGGTATAGTCACCCTGTGTATTCACACATCCATCTTCTTTTGATGCTTCCTGGATTGTACAAGCTTTTGCCATAATGTCTCTCAGTATTGTATCTAAATTTGAATTTGTCTTTTCTCTTCTTTTAGCTTGACAATACTGAGCAAGTTCTTCCATATTTTTATTCTCCAGCTACAGTTCTTTGTGCATTCAGTAAGAATACTTTATGGTATATAATAAAAGTATAATACTCTATTGCACATATTATTATGGGGAAAATATTGTACTCCCCAAATAATTCTTTTATTGTTATATTGTCTTATCTTGACAAATTTATGGTTTTTTTAATGAATTTTAAACAGTTTAATGAATTTTATAGAACATGCATATGACTACTGAACACAGCCACAAATAGATAATGAGCTATCATAACTCTCTTGTGTACCAGTAGGATAATTTTATCTCATTTTAAATAATTACAAATTAAAAAAAATAATTACAAATTAGAATTTTTACAAGATAAAACTCCCTAACATGTTCTTGTTAGGTCGTGACTCTGTGGCATCAAGATTGGAGGAAGAATTAACTCTGACTTCCACTCAGTGTGCAACAGACTGAAAACTGCTTGACCCTCTTCACCCTGCTGCACTTAAGCCTATTTTTGCAATCATTTTGTCAGCCCATTTCATTAAGAGTGTTCCTCACTTTCACTGATCTAACTTTCCATGCATGATGTGCTTGTCCAAAGATTTACCCTTCCTGATAACAAGCCCAAAGTAAAAAAAACAAAAACAAACACCAAAACCGAAAACAAAAAACAAAAACACAAAACCAACACAAGCGCAGAATATGTGACAGAGGTTACCATTCTTGCTTCTGAGGAGCAATCTGGATATTCTTCCAAACTTGATTTGTTTATTCTTTTAGCAGTCTATGATATATTTAATAATCTTTGCCAGCATCACAATTTAAAGGCATCAGTGATTCTGTAATCCTTATTCACTGTAAAACTTTGATGCTTATGAAGCAGTTGAAAAATATGATGGTGCACCTTTGTCTTTAATCTGCCATCCCTGCTTTTCCGTAGTTTAAAGATCCTTGATATCAGATTGCCCAATGCAACATGTCTTTGGAATTCTTGACTGCTGCTACCATTAGTGTTGATTTTGGAGCTAAGTAAAAGGAAATTACTGACAACTTGAATATTTTCAACAGCTGCCATAATGTTCTCTATTGATCTAGTTGTGAAGGTTTTACCTTACTTGATGATAAGATCCAAATTGAAGACTAAAGTTTTTGTTCATCTTCAATTAATGCTTCACATCTTCCTTTTCTACATGTAAGGTTGTGTCATTTGCATAATGTAGGTTGTTGATTCTTGCTCCAATCTTGATCTATGTATATACACCACAATTCCCTTCATATAGCCTGGCTTCTTGAATTACTTGTTGAGCATGTGGATTATAGAAGTGTGAAGAAAGACTATAGCTGTAATGAACAACTTTCTTGGTTGTAAACTGTGGTATTTCTTTGGGCTGTTTGAAGAATGCTCCTAATCTATATACAAGTTTTATTTAAGCACAATTAAGTATTCTGGGATTCCCATTCTCCTCAATGTTATTAATATTTTATTATGATACACACCGTTGAAATGTCATTGCACAGATGGAATACATTTGATGGAAGAAATTCCTTTTAAAAACACTGATTGGAGAAAGACTTATCAATAGCCTTCATTATGCAGATGACACAAACTTGCTTACTGAAACTAAGGCTTTGAAGTGCTTGTTGCAGAAGATCAAAGACTACATACAGCCTTCAACGTGGATTATATCTCAACCTAAAGAAAACAGAAATTTTCAGCACTGAATCAATAGGCAGCAACATCATGATATATGGAGAAAAGACAGAAAGTGTCAATGACTTTATCTTCCTTGGTTTCACAACCAATATACTACCAGCAATTAGGAGATCAGAGATGTATTACATTGAGAAAGTCTGCAGGCAGGATCTTTTTCTCATTGAGAAACAATGATGCCAGTTTAAGAACTAAGGTGTGCCTGACTCTGGCTGTGGTCTTTTAAATCGTTGCTATGCATCTGATGGCTAGACAGTGAATAAATTCAGAAGAATAATAAATATAGAAGAATAATTGATGCCTTTTAGTTGTGATTTTGGAGAAGAGTACTGAATATTCTGTGAATGGCCAAAAATAGATACGTTTTGGAGAAGGTACAGCCATAGATGAAAAAGGTGAAAAAGCTTTATCTCACATGCTTCAGTCATTGTTTTAGTAGACATTATTCCTTGGAGGGGGACATCATCTTTGGAATGATAGGGAGACCCTCAAATTAGATGGATTGATGCAGTGACTGCTACAGAGGGCTCAAGCATGTCTGAAATAATGAGGATGGCACAGGACAGGACAGAGTTCATATGCCACCTACAAACAACAATGTCTAATGTCTATTATTTGTAAAATTGTAAGATATATTTCTGTTAAGTAATTTGCTATTCTTATACTTAGAATCCCGTCCATTATCAGTTCCTGTGAAAGCCATGCTGAATTTATCTGAAAGCTGCAGAAGTCCTGAAGAAAGAATGAAAGAATTTCTTGGAAAAGTATGGAATGCAGTGAAGTGTCTCACACTACAGGTAAAGTAAAAAAGTTTTAGTTCTATGAAGCATGTTTCTTTTCAGTAGTTTTAATAGCAATTTGTTCTTTTTTATAAGAAATACTCATTGTATTACCTGATTTCCATGAATTGGCTGAAAATAATTGATGTGATTTTAATATTACAAACAAAATTATTTAAAATATACTCTTTTTTCTAACATATACAAAATATGAAATAACTGTCAAATTTAAAAAATAATTCTATTTTATTTCATCTAAGTGTTTAAGGGTTTAAAATTATTAATGTACAAGGCGAGGAGCGAATTGGGGCTGGAGATGGGGGTGGGGTGGGTGGGGAGAAAAGTGCAACAATGCATGACTGGAATTCCAAAATCTCTGTAGATGTTCATTGAAATTAATAAGAATAACAATAAAAATTTTAAAAAATTATTGTATGTTTCACATTCTTTTTTGTTATTTCCTATTCTTGTCTCAGAACCAAGATAAAAATGGAATTGACATAGAAAGATAATATCCTTATTTTTATATTCTATTTCCAAATTAAAAATGAAAATACCTATTTATTATTTTATTTGTAATAAATTGTCATCTTTCATGTTTTAATTAAGTGCCCGTGAATTGACTTTACTTAGTTACTCTGTTTCTACATCAAATTTTACCTAATGAAAATAGATTCTTAGCAGATAATTACTATAAGAATTGAATAAAAATAACTCAACGGATATAAATTTTAAATAATTTTTTTCTATGGATAAAATAAGAAATAATAGTATTAGAGGCACTTTTAATAGATTATGTAAGGCAGTAAATCAGGGTACTAAGGACTTCTGTTACTACAGAAGCAATTTTTAAATTTTTTTAGAAAAAACAATTTTAATTACTTGTCTATTGACTTTTGTTTTGTGGTATTCGTACCAGCAACCAGAAAAATGAAAAGACACGTAGCATTGGGAATGTCTTCTGTCAGAGACCTCCCCAAAATACTGCAGAACAACAGTATCAGTATGGAGACTAAGGTGCACCTGATCTAGGCCATAGTCTTTGCAGTTACTTGCTATGTATCAGAGAGCTGGACAATGACTAGGGTTGGTAGAAGGAGAATTGATGCCTTTGGGTTGTGGTGCTGGAGAAGAGTATTGACTATACCATAGACTGCTAGGAGAACAAACAGGGTTGTCCTAGAGAGGGTGAGACAAGGCTGCTTCCTGGAGGCAAGGATTCTGAAGCTTCATCTGTCATAGTTTGGATATGTTGCTAAAAGAGATCAGCCCTTAGAGAGGTATGTTCTGCTTGGGAGGGTGGAACAAAGGTGTAAATTAAGAGAAATGTAGACAGAGAAGTTAAAGAGTTAATAAAATCCAAGTATGTATGGAATTTAGTGAGCAAGTGGTCCACTCTATTTAAAACAAAAAGAAAGTATTATGTACATATTACCTATGGTGGAGGGCCAACACAAGAGAGGAAGACCCTCGATGAGATGGATTGATTCAGTGACTGCGTATATTAGAAACAGTAAGATTGGCACAGTATAGTGCAAGGTTCAGGGCTATTGTGCATAGGTTTGCTATGAGTCACAGGCAACTCGATGGTACATAACAACGACATATGGTAAATTAGTATAATATATAGACTTTTCAGTGTTGTTGTTGATATGTGCCATCGAGTTGCCTGCGACTCATAGCAACCCTATGTACAACAGCCCTAAACCCTGCCATATCCTGTGCCAATCTCACTATCTCTGGCACACCTACCTCCAATACCCCAGTCACTGAATTAGTCCATCTCTTTGCTGGTCTTCCTCTCCTGTGACTGATCAGTAGAATAAATACATAGTATGATCAAACCATGGATCATAACAAACTGTGGCTGACTCTGAGAAGAATGGGAATCCCAGAACATTTAATTGTGCTAATGTGAAACCTGTACTTGGACCAAGAGGCAGTCATCAGAACAGAGCAGGGTAACACTGCATGGTTCAAGATTGGGAAGGGTATATGCCAGGGATGTGTCCTATCTCCATACCTTTTCAACCTGTATGCAGAGCAGATTATCCAAGATGCTGGACTCTATGAGGAGAACTGTGGTGTCAGGATTGATGGAAGATCTATTAACAATCTGTGTTATGCAGATGACACAACCCTGCTTGCCAAAACTGAGGAAGACCTCATGCACTTGCTGCAGAGGGTTAAGGACTGCAGCTTTCAGTATGGACTGCGGCTCAATGCCAAGAAGACAAAGATTCTCACCACTGGACCAATTGGTAGCATCAGGATGGATGGTGAAGAGATTGAGATTGTTCACAGCTTCAGTTTGCTCAGCTCGACAATCAACACTCTTGGCACCAGCAGTCAGGAAATCAAAAAGCATTGTGATGGGAAAGTTTGCTGTTAGGGACCTCTCTAAAGTACTCGAGCAACGGTGTCTCTCTGGAGACTAAGGTGTGCCTGATACAGGCCATGGTCTTTGCAATCGCTTGTTATGCATCAGAGAGTTGGACAATGATTAGGGAGGATAGAAGGAGAATTGATGCCTTTGAGCTGTGGTGCTGGAGAAGAGTATTGAATGTACCATGGACTGCCAAGAAAACAAACAGATTCAGCCTGGAGAGGGTTAAACCAGGCTACTCCTTGGAGGCAAGGATTCTGGGGCTTTGTCTGGCATACTTTGGACATGTTGTAAGGAGAGACAGGTCCTTGGAGAGGGACATCATGCTTGGTAGGGTGGAGGGACAGCGCAGGAGGGGAAGACCCTCTATGAGGTGGATTGATTCAGTGACTGGCGTAATTGGGATGGGTGTGTTTGAGACAGTGCGATCGGCACAGGATAGAGCGGGCTTTAGGGCTGTTGTACATAGGGTCGTTATGAGTCGCAAACGACTCAACGGCACATAACAACAACAACAACATGACCAAACCCAGATTAAATCCCATTTTGAAATGATTTGACAAGGACCTTAATTAATTATGTTAACAGAAATTGCAGTAAAGGTATATATATCAGGTATGAATAGTTGTTGTTGTTAAATGTCATAGACAACCAATAGTGACCCTATGAACAGAAGTCTTGAACAAAACTTTTTTTTTTTTCTTGAACAAAACTTTGATCTTTTCTCCAAGTTCATAGAATTTCTGGAGGCAAGCGTTTTGTTATGGTTTGGTTCTTTTTTTTTTTTTTTTAACAGAAAGATAAAAACTTTAAGATGCTGTTGTTTTAAGTACTGTAATGTCAGCTACGACTCATGGAAATTCTAAGAATAACAGATTAGGAATTTGCTTTATCCTGTGGCATCCTCAAGCTCTCTGCCATGCCCAAGCCATGCACAGTTACAGTCACTGCCAGGCTGTCTCGTTGAGAATCTCCCTCTCTTCCCTGGTTTTCTCCTTTTCCCAGAATGATGTCTTTTTCAACTTTGTCTCACATACTCTTGGCTTTGGAAAAAGACATTGTCTAAAGAGCAGAAAATGTGACATAAGGTCACAAGGCCCTGAGTGTCATTGTGAAAGGGCCAGAGTAAGTGAATATCTAGCATAGCCCCTCACTGTCCCAGAGCAGAAAGCATTAGAGCCTGTCGCCCAGCCGCATGGTGCCTCTGGAGCCACAGGTGCAGCAAGAAATTAATTTATTTGTTGTTAAACCACGCACTTTACTCACAGTTGTGGTCTGAGAAATAGGGTTTATTAGAGAAATAAGTTGGAGAGTCGGGGGGGGGGCAAAGAATATCTCACAATCAAAGTCCAGGTTTAGTCCCACAGTCCCAAGGCACAATTCCTCAATTATTCCAGGTTCCAATTTCAGCCCAGCAACACAAATTCAGGAAGCCTCCGGTTTCCTCAATCATCCAGCAAGGTTTGCCTAGAGCTCATATAAGTCAGCGTCTACTTAATTATCTGGCAAGCACAGCAAAACCTTTTTAATGTTTGCATTTATCTCAGGGCTTCTCTGGTTTCACCATACCAGCTTTTCCACAGCAAGGCCACAGTTTCTCCATGCCATCACCAGGGTCTAAGCACCAGGATCTTGCTCTCAGTCTCCCTCAAGTATTTTGTCCCAGTGTGGGAAGCACACTCTCTTATGCTAGTACCACGGCAGTTGATGATTTTCAAGACTATGTGTCTGCAGTTAAGGGAGGTGGAGAACAGAGGGGGCTAAAGTAATGGCTAAAAAAATCGTAACTGTAGGATAACACTGTAGATATCATGCTGGGAAAGGTGGAGGGTCGGAGAAAGACCACTAACAAGATGGACTGACACTGTACCCACAACAGTGGATTTGAACAAGGCAGAAATTGTGAGGATGGTGTTAGGGCAAGGTCTGTCCTGTTGTTCATAGGGCCACTATGATTTGTATTCAGTTTGTTGACTCAATGATACCTAACAACAACAATTGTACAGAAAACAACAAAAACTTGCTTTCTTGGGTGGATAAAGTACCATGATATGAAATGTCTTTTGGGAAACATTTCTTAGAGATATTCCATAGAAATGTCATGATCCAAAAAGAGAAATAGAGATGTCAAGATAATTGTAATTTCCTAAGGAATGCTCTGCCTACCTCTTGATTTAATTTTGATATTGTCCCCACTTGACTACTGACTCGCAAAACTAAGTAACACTCTTGTATAATATAGGCTATAATAAATATAAAAAATACTTTGCAATTTGGAGTTTTGTGGTGCGAAATGTTTTTATAACACTCTAAATTACTATGTTAAAAGTAACCTCTTTCCCTATTTATTCCACAAAAGCATTGAATAATTGAGTGAATACGGTTAGTCTTTATTTATATCATCTTTAGCATTTTATGATCAGAAGTTTGAACAGTGGTACTGTTGCCATCCAGTTAGGTAACAATACATCTGGACCTCGCTCTATCCTGTGCCATCCTCTTGATCTTTGTTGTGCTCAAGTCCATTGCGATAGTCACTGCGTCAGTTGTCTTGTTGTTGGTCTTTCTTTTGTTGACCCTCTACCTTGTATAGCATGATGCCTTTCACCAAGGACTGATTCTTCCTGAGAAT